GAGCCCCCTCCAGTGCAGGGATGCTTAGCTGGTGAATAGCCTCTCTTGGGAGGTGAGGAGAGAAGAGCCACAGTGAATAGCCTGTTGGTGAATAGCCTTCTGTTGGTGAATAGCCTCTTTGGGAGGTGAGGAGAGAAGAGCCACGGTGATGTTTATGCTTTACAAGCTCTGTAATAAGAAAGCAAAAGTAGCAACCCTGTCCTGGTCTTTGCTGGCCTAAACATATATTGTAGTGTATCTGTCACTAAATTTTATTTTTCTAAACAGACTGAGTGGGTAACAAAATCCCCCTACTTCTAATGCATGGGACTTAATCATAAACACTCCAAAGAAAAGGAAGCCCACTTCTGCTGAGTCAGCCTCCATCGTGCCTGTAAGAGGACTGTGTGGGGATTATGAGGTGATGACTACGCACTGAATAAGCAGTGAGCATCCTCCTTGCTTGCCGAATACCTAGATCTGACTCAATCCCTTGACTCCCCTATTTTTAAATACAGAACTTAAGAGGGGGCCAGGTAACAGTTCAAACCAAGGTCCACCTTGAGTCACCAACACTATTTTCTATAGACAGCTACATCCCTGCAAAGCAAAAAGAGCTGGGCTATAAAATGTCCTGTGCTGGGACTAATGACAAAATAACGGTTGGCTGATGACAGAACTTCTTTTCTTGTCAAATAAAACATTTTTTTTCTTTTTTGAGAGTCCTAAGTTAAGACAGCTCAATATAACTGGCCCATTTGAGTGGGTGGGCAAGGGAGGACTGGAATAACATATATTCTTCTCAGGTTCTTTAAGGTCAAATGGAATACCTCTTCAAGGTGTAACAGAAAGATTTCCAGGGCCAGTGACTTCACTTACTAGCTGTGTGACACAGGACAGTTAATGCAATATATTTAAATGCTGGTTTCCTCATATGTAAAATGGGGAAAATCGCTGCTTTACAGACATACAAAGTACAGTTCCTGGTACATATAAAGGCTCCCAGTAAATAGTTCTGATATAGGGGTTTTATAAATATTTAATGATATATGTCAAGGGTCATGAATGATACTGGTGGTATCAATTGCAGTAGAATCAACTGATGAGCTTTATAAAAAAATACATAAACACATATATACACATATATAGACATACTTACATACATAACACACACATAGATATGTATTCATTGTATCCATGCCAGAATTTCTGAAATGATTGAACTAGGATAGGGCCTAACCATAATACCCTTTTTGAAGCTCCCCAGGAGATTCAAATATGCAACTAGAATTGAGACTCACTGGATACAGGTTCTTAATCTGAGGTCCATAGAACTCTTCATAGAATACGGGAAACTTATTAACTTGGATGGGAAAAAAAATTAGACTTTTATTTTCAATGACATTTAGCATTTCCTCATGAATACAACAAACTACAGTAGCACCATCAATACTGTAACTTTGTACCAACAGAAACCACAGAAAATCACTGTACAGTTGCTGCAGATATCTCAAGGTGTCACCTACAGTCACCATTACATCAAAATCGCAGTAGTTATTAGATCTGCCACTAGATTGTGTTTTTAGTGACTTACTAAATAGTAACATATATTACTATATCACATTTTTAAAAATATTTTGAGCATTTTATTTTAATATAATGGGAATCCTTTGTAAACTATAGAATTTTATTTCATGCTTTCAAAAACATTATGTGAAGAGGTTCTTAGGCTTCACTAGGGTACCTAAGGACCCTGGCACTCACAGGGGGTTAAGAACTCTGTATTTAGAGGCAACTGGTGAAGAAAGCAACTTCAGGAATGCTGATGAAGAGCAACTTCTTTGAACTTAGTGTGTGCAATGCTGATTGATCTCTCTGTAATGAACTGAGAAAGGATTTCAGTAAAAATGAGGTGTATTGTAACAGAAGTATATTTACATATGAATTGTTCTTCTTTATTAATTTCTATAACAAAGCCGTCATTCTTTTCTATCTGCACCAGCTGATTCACTGCTGAATCTGTATCTTCTCCCTAACTCTGATTTTAGCTGCCACAAATGATAGAAAATGTCAGTTTTGGCTTGCCAATTCAGTGTAATCAGACAAAATGCAGGATGTATTTTTTGGTAAAAATTTTCTCCAAGCCTAAAATATATGATTTCTAAGGCTTTTGCAGTGAGAATGAAAGGATTCACTTAAAATTGATTTCTGTAAGCCCCAGTTATACAGTATATTTCATAATAAGCACTGCAAAATCTCAGCTTAGGGAAAAAAAACTCTTAGTTGGTAACAAATTGTCACTACAATGATCAGTGTGCCAAATTTCATTCCCAGATAAAAGGATACCTTGAAAGCCATGCAGAAGTCTAATATATGTGTAGGCTTTGGTACAACACTATGATAGTTAAGAAACAAGCCCTTACAACACATTTCAGGGGTCTTGATGCCTTTATATGCAAGATGTTTCCAGCTGTTTCCTCAAGTTCATGGTCAACTGGTGCCTAATCTCTCTGGAAACAGAGATACTAGCTGCTGATATTAGCTGATGTATATGCCCCCCCAGCACAATTTCTTTTTCAGAAAAGTTAGCCCTTGCTTAGAAGCTGCCAGAGTGGGTTGAATTATCCGATCCCTGTCATTAAAGGTGGCAGCCACGCACTCGAGAATGATGTGGGAAAACTCCAGTGAGAGTGATAATTAAACTTGGAAAATGAAGGGTCACCTTCTTTTATTCAGCTCATTGGGTTTGGCATCAGAGTAATTCCAAAACAGTGGGGGATATTCCACTCTCAGCATGGCAATATCTAGGTGCACACACATTATTTCTATGGGTTCAAATGGGAATGCCATTTTAATTGTATTTAAAATGTTATCTTTGATACGGGGAGTAAACATGTTAGACATTAGTTCTAAGAATATAGAAAAAGAATAATGAGTATAATCTAAACAGTGAAAGAATTAGAAACAAGAAAAGCATGCATTGTTTTTACAGGGGAAAAAAAAAAGCATTATAGGAGAAGAAAATGGTTTCCAGGGAAATTGAAAGGAACATTTAAATGTGTCTCTTCTTTCTCCTTGACCGTGGGATCACAAAGCAAGGGTCTCGTCTCAGCTTTCTTGTCCACTTACTGCCATTTCTTGGAGGCCATTATTATAACATCTTTCTCCTGCCCAGGAGAGGGTAGAAAGGGTAGGTAAGCTTAAGACAAGCCATCGGTGGGAGTTATTTTCCAGGAAAAGGGATTTTTTTAAAGATAAATTGGCTTATCTAAATACTATTGAAGCAATATTTGGGAAATTATATTTCATACTGTTCTTATGTTGCATTAAAAAGTAATACTGAACTTTTAAGGGCCTGAAATGATACTGCAATATAGGCAGGTACACTAGAGAACATTATTATTAGACAGGAGCACGGATGCTAAAAGTGAATTTCAAGTTCAAATTCTGGCTTCACCATATAATAGCTGTGTAACCTTGGGCATGTTACTTAGCCCTGCGTGCCTCAGTTTCCTCATCTGTAAAATGGGGAAAATAATAGTACCTATCTTATAAAGTTGTTGAAATTAAATGACTGTTAAAACATATGAAGCATTTATAACTCTACCTAGCACAGAGTGATTATTATATAAGTGCTTACGTTTATTATTATTATTTTGCATTTTTAGTATGTAGCATAGTACTTAACACTGCAGACCAAGTTTAAAATTATATTAATAATTCTTTTTATGGTTGACCACTTTTTGTGTTTGTCATTCTGAGAAAAGCTTCCTAAAAGATGTGAGTCCTTTAAAAAACAAACAGTTCAACATCATTATTATTAGAGTTGATTGTATAATGTGAAAATGGAGATAATTGCCACATCAAGCTCAGAAAGTGAAAAATTCCTAATAAGCAGAAGCTATAGATGGGTCTTGATAGTTCCCTTCACATCTGAAGCGTTGACTTGAGGAAGATCAATTGTATTCTAAGCGATTATATTTTGATTCAAGGTAAGAGAGAATTTTGAAACAAATAGAACTTTCTAAATGAGAAAAAAAAAATATGATGGTCTGGCCAATAGTGCGATATCTAAAGTCCCTTTGTAAGATTTTCTGATTTATCAGTTTGTGGGCAAATATCCACAGATTTCATCAGATTTTTAAATATTTATCATTAGAATACTTGGAGTGTTTTCATTTGTTTTTGAAGGATTAATGTAGAAAAATCTTTTCTCCAACATAAACACACACATTGCCCCACAGCTCAACCTCCATTCACTACCAGCTCATTGAGAGAGAGACAGACAGAGAGACAGGCAGAAATGTGTGTGTGCGTGTGTGCGTGCATGGGGGGTGGGATGGTGAGGGGGAAAGGGGAGACAGAGAATGAATGCATAACATTAAGAACAACCCTAACCAATTATTGAAGAGAAACTACTATCTGTACGTTAAAAAACTACAGGCAACATATAAAAATCCACAAAGGAACGAAATATTATATGTAAGTCTGATTTTACTGTAATATTTGTGCACAGTACTTTAAAAGAACAAAAGGCTTTACAAAAGATAGTTGACTCACTTAGTATAAGGGTTAAAATTATTTGGTAAATTATTTCCCACTGAAAAAATATAAATAAACTATATAAGAAGATATTCTGCTTCTGCCTCAGGTTTATATTTAAAATGATTTATAGTCTGCAATTTCTTCCTAAGGTCACCACCTTCATAAATACTAGCTACATAGAGTGAAAACCAACTCAATAAAATGAGTATTTCATTTCTCTTCCTCCTGGTTATGTAGATACTTCTTCCATCTACATGGCACCCATTTATAACAAAGCCTCACATTGTGCGGATTTTTATGAGTTCTTGAGCTTTTCTTTCTTTTTTATCTTTCTATGCATCAGCAAAGCAACTGGCAGATTCTTTAATAAAATATATTATACACATTAATATTTATAAGCCTATGAATTGGATGTTTAAATAAACATTCACCAACTTATGCCAATTCTTTTGTTTTAGACGTTAAATCACACTTACATTGTTTGGAAAGTCAGCCTTTAGTTCAGCGACACTTTGACACCAATATGCAGCCGTTTTCTCACTGATGAGCTCAATATTCAGGAAGGAGCTTTGTCCAGGGCCATACAAGGGGCCAGAGGTGATCCCCCGGATGATTCTGGGTGAAACATTTGTCACAATGTCCTGATGAAAGAGCAAAGATATCAGGTCTCCTTTTGACAAAGAAAAACTATGATCTTCAATCACATTGATCATTATCATATTAAGCATTATTCTATGCTTACTTCCATATGACAGTATTTTACTAAGTCCCTTCTCACATTTTTACAGAAGAATCTTTTAACTATATTTTAAAGTACAGTTGAACAAACTACTTCCAAATGAAAGAGTAAAATAAAATATTTTTTAGCTTTATTTAAATTAGTTCCTGTAATTGTAAGGTTAGCATAATAAAAAAATAAAAATATGTAAATTCATTTACACTGGTTTTGGGCATACACATTTTAACTTGTTTGCAATTAAATAATAAATAAAAACATGATTAAAATGTAAGAATATCATTTCAGTCTATTTAATCTAAGTATCTCCAAAGAGATTTTAACTCCAATAAGAGTTAATGTTCATAGAAAAAAAATATTTTTTTTCCTAAATAGTAATTCCAATGTAAATCAGCCAAGGAGTACACATTAGTATTACTGACTCATCAAACTCTAACCCACACTCTAACAAAATAACTAGATCTACTTACGTATAAGATTCTAACTATAAATCCACATTCAATGAGAACTCACTTTTCCCAAGACTGAAATGAGGATATCAATAACTTCCTGATAACTATAAACAGTAAACAGTCAAATTAACTTGCTTGTTAAGTGTAATTAACAATCCACAATTACTTCTAAAGCTGCATTAACAAAGAAGAGTAACATTCTTACATTACTAAAAACTAAAAAGAAACAAAGAAGGAAAATGTTTCTTCAGCCAACTTCCAATTAAAATTAATTTTGAGTAAAGGTCATTTAGTTAAGGATTTATCAGAATTAGTCATTTAAGTACCCCTCCTCACCATCTTGTCACTTTTAGTGAGATAACATGCACCCCCATTAGTATATAGCAATTAAGGTCAATTTACATATTTTAATTAAGAACCACCCCATATAAAACAATTAGCGTAATAGGCATACTAACTGGATTTCATAACATTTGGACGTTTTTCCAACTAGATAGACAGGAAACCTTAATTAGCATTAATTAGTGCTGATCTGCATATGTTTGATAAGGCATACCCTTGCCACAAAAGATTATTTATTCCTGAATCTGCCAAATGCTACAGTTGCAGAGGATAAAAGGACTTTTCTTCACATTGCATGTTAATTTCTGGTAATTTACATTCACTTTTACATTTGAATTAGTATATTATAAAATAAATGGTATAAACGTTACAATAAGCCTCTTTAAATATGTACATTTTTACTTATAAGAATCCTGCCAGTTAATGTTTTACTAATTAAGCCATTCCACTTCTATTGTAATTGTGGGCAACACCAACAGCCTTACTTTGGTTTGTTATTGTGAGACCGTGTTACACACTCTTACTGGATAAAATAACAAGAAGAGTCACTCCAGGAAGCTCAAGCCTAGTGGGTCAAATTCCTATCTTGGCGAATGCTTAAAAGTGTGCTCTGCATCCCTGCATCCCTGCAGGTGGCTTCTGTGCAGCTCACCCTGTAGGTACTCCTGTGCTGCCATGGTCTGAGAAGACAATTCTTGAAATGTTTCACTCAAATGAGGCTGGTTTTCTTCTACGTTCCATTTTTTTCTTTTTTCTTTTTTTTTTTTTTTGTTTGAAGACGATTAGCTCTGATTTTACAGATTCCACATATAAGTCAGATTTTGCTGAGGAAGATTGGCCCCGGGCTAACATCCATGCCCATCTTCCTCTACTTTATATGGGACGCCGCCACAGCATGGCTTGACAAGCGGTGCGCCGGCGTGCTCCTGCGATCTGAACCTGCGAACCCTGGGCCGCTGAAGCAGAGCACGTGCACTTAACCTCTACACCACAGGGCTGGCCCCCTATGTTCCAAATTTTAAGAGCCATACTTTCAAGCCTGAGGTCCTCCTTTCCTTTGCTATACTCCCTATTCTAAATGCTCTTCACCTAGATAAGTCCAATCTAGGCCACAGGCTGTGCCCTACACAGGAGAACTTGGCCAAGAAGGTGAATGGAGTCCATATTTAGTTCACCAAGTCAAGGGCCCTCCCACTGGGTAGTTCCACAAATAAAGGGGCACCTGTTTTAAATGACTATTCTGTAATTTATATCGACCTGGAAGCAGCGCTTTCTGCTTATTCAACAAAACTTTTATGTGTTAGCAGCACCACCGCACCTGCCCATTCTTTGAGACTTAGCTTCGACTTCAGTCCCTTTGGGAAGCCTTTCTGATCTCCAACACCAAGTCTTAATAAGATGCTCTGACTCATGCCAGCATCATCGAAATATGTACCTTCCCCAATTGGCACTCTTAACACCTTGTATTGCGATTGTCTATATTCTGGTGAACCCTCCACTAGAGTATAAGCTTTGGAAAGGAAGAAACTATATCTCGTTTACTATTACATGCCCAGCTTCTGGCCTGGCCTTTAGTAGGTGCTCAAATAAATATTTTTTCGAAGGAGCCTAGACTAAAACCCTAGGCACTAGAATAAGTCTCATCCTGAGGCTTGGGACTATGAGGTATTTATTGCTGGCCTCATTCTGTTGCGGAACAGACTAGGAGATTTGGGTTTATATTCAAATTTCAGGTACTGGCTCTGTGCTTAGATCCTTTCCTACTAGTCCATTCCTCTAGAATTGGGGTCCTTGCTTCCCCTGATCCCTCAGGGGGTCCCTCTCCCCGAGACCCCACTGTGGTTAGGTCCTAGTACCAGCATGTTGTGATACAGATTGCCCATTGCTCCCCGCTCCCCCTCCCAGCCTACTGCAGAGCCTCAATGACAGGAATTGCTTGAACTTCATCACCTTGTAACTTCTAAGACCTTCCTGATTGCTGGCCCCAAATTGTTGGGTTTATCTGATCTCTAGGATTCAAACAGAATGGTCCCATTCAGATGCAATCTATTAGCCTTAGTCTGGTTCAGGTGGATGTGAATTCCTAACCTGGTCCAAGGCCACCTAGGGGATTGCTTAGCTGATGAGCCTATCAGGACCTTAACCAACTATAGTTGCCTCTTGTAACCGCACATCAAGCCATGTATCTGTGCCCTAGGCTGGGCCCACATCTTCATAATATGTGCTAGGAAATGTTTTAATATCATAAAATAAAAAAGATACAGAATGGAAGAGTTGTACCTATACTGAATAAAGAAAAACTTGACAGTCCAGGAATTTTAAGCCATATGCTATTTTACAGCAACCCTCCTAACAACTATTAGGCCAGCAGCCCACAATAGCCAAAAAGGTCAATAGGCTGACAAGATTTAATTAGAGGACAGTCAATCAAATGCTTCTTTCTTAAAATGTCCCCCTTCAGTGATACCTTAAAACCTAAAATTCTACCTGTAGAGATTTTTCCTTTGTGTACTGTGAGTCAAGTTTATCGTTAATGTTGGAGTTGTTTTATTTTTCTCTTCTATAATCCAGTGTTAAACTGTAAATATACCATGGGAGGATTATCAGTGATCTCCTTAACCAAGATCAAACAGGAAGTACAAGGCAAATCAAAGAGAAATTTTATCTACTTTATGATAGGGATTGTTTATTCCTTTATGTTGATTTATGATAGGGAGTGTTTCTCTAAACAGGTCAGTTTTCTCTTTCCTTAACTCAAGCAAAGAAGAAAGACCCTTAACAACTGCCCAAATTACAAATGCTTACTGCATAGAACTTGTCAGCTATCAGTGAGTCAATTGTTACCATCACAGCAATTTAAAAATTCAACATAGTCCAAATTCAACTACAGTGCTGAAATTCTAGTATGGTCACCTGGTGATAAATCAGTGATAGAAATGTTATTCTAGGTTTTCTTTCCCAAATTCAGTCATGTTTCTTACTACTTTGTCAAAAACCTTCTCCACTGACTTGAGACTTCTTAGAATTTTAAAATTAAGTGAAAGATGAATGAAAACTTGAATATAACCAATTATCCTTGGTTATATGATTACAGTTAGAGCTTCAATAATTGGGCAATAACTTACTAAAGCTTTTGACCTGGGAATACTTGAATTTGAGTATGATTTTATAAGATAATATTTTGCTTTAATATTTAATAGCTAAATCATATTAGCATTGCTTAAGGGAGTTAATATAACAAAATAAACATAATCAAGAAGAGTTAGAACAGATAAGAGTTCATTCTCTATGACAAAGAAGATGAATTACCATAGTTCTAAACTTCAGTGCATTAACAGTATCCAGATTTTTTAAAATTGATGTTTATAGATAAGGAAGTATTAGGTGATATCTCTGCTTTATGTGATACTGTAACTACCATTATAAAATCGAGTGTTAGTGACCTCTTAACATTTGAAGTGACGATAGTGATTTTTCAGCATTAGTAAAGAGATTTAAATGGTAAACAGACTGATTATATTTGTTTAAGTTCATTTACTTGACCTCTCTTCTCCTGAAAAACCATAGTGTTTCCATGGTTACTGGATGAAGATAGTCACAATGGCCTCAAAGAATAGAAAAAGGAAACTTTGCAGAGATGTCTTGGTAAGAGACTAGGAAAAGAACTGGGATCCAAAAAACTTGCATGAAAATGAAAAATAAAATTTGCAAAGTGAACCAGAGCTACTACCACAACAGATGAATTTTAGAAATATGTTTTTGAGTGAAAAGAGTAAGCTGTGGCAAAATATCTAGATTATGATCCCTAAAACAAGCAAAACAATAGAAAATATTATTTAGTGAAACATACTTATGTGACCAAATACAAACGTAAGTAAGAGAATAATTTAAAAAAATTCAGGAGAGCGGTTATCTCTTGGAGTAGGCAGATGCTGGGGGAGAAATTGGGGATAGTGGAGCAAGAATGGCTTTCTAAAAGTATTAGTGGTATATAATTTTAAAGAAAATACAGAAACACATGGTAGAATGAGAAATCTGTTTAATAAGTTTTGTGGTAGCATAATGCATATTGTTATAAGCCTTCAAGAAAGTTTTATCAGTTTACCTGGAA